GAGGAATCGCCATACAGTTTTCCACAGCAGCTGCACCGTTTTACATTCCTACTAGCAGTACATGAGGGAGTAGGGTTTTGCACATGAAAAAGAGATGGCTCCTTCAAAATGGCTTGTTAAAACAATGCTAAAATAGGTGCATTTGCAATGAAATATTTTCCTGTTAGCTTTTTAAAAGAGCAATACTTACGAAATCTGTTTTGGTTTTTAACTCGTCATTTTGAAGAGCTCCATATGAGCAACATTAACATTAAGGTGACAGTGGCAGCACTTCAGGTAAAGACCATAAGCAGCCTAGAGTGTCAGTTCAGTAACTAGAAATCCATAAGGCACAAGAGCCGTCGGGAAGGTCAGGGAAATATGAAGAGGGTCTCAAAGCCGACTTGTGAACTGCTGAGCTCAGTAAATTGAGTAAATAACTTTAGTGAAAACAAGAAAGGGTAGTGATGAGGACAGAAAAGAGAAAGCAAACGGGGACACCTTTTACAAGATGGGCAAAGAAATGGAGGTCACAGCTTGTAAGAGGCCATTTGAAAGTTGCTTGATTTGTAAATATTAGGGACATGAAATTCAGGGAAAACAAAGCAAAGCCTGTCAGAAAGGGTTTTAAATAAATAAACCCCAGCACAAAAACCTAAATCAACTAGTGGGTTTGCAGGCAAGGAGGGAACAGCTATGGAGGATTAAAATATTTGTGTGAAGAAGGCGGCCACGTGTGTAGAAAGTCAAAACAGCATATTCTGCCTCATGTTTATAGATAGCTTATATTTTGAATGCTAGGTATTTACTAGCAGAGAAAAATTTCCTTTTGATTTAAGGCATGATCATGTAAAGAGAGGAGATTGCTGGTTCATTCAGCAGCTGAACAAATGTTTCTTAAATGCCTATTATGTGCCGGGTTCTGGACTTGGGAGTGGAGATCATGGAGATAAATAAAGCATAGAGCCTACCTCAAGGAGTTGCAGCTGTGGTAGGTGAGGCGCACAGATCAATCAGGTAGACATCCTCAATACAGTGAGGAGATAAAGCACCAGGGTACCGTGTTCATGGAGGGAGCGTAGCCACACGTTCTTACTCTGGTAGCCAGCGACTCCTAGAAGGCTTTCTGAAGAGATCTGAACTGACATGTGGGCTGAGCAGGTGTCAGTCTCCCAAAGGAAGTAGGATTCAGGTGGAGTAGAACCTCTTTCTAGGAGGAGAGACCAGTATGAGCAAAGGTGAAGAAAGTACCCGAGTCTGACTTGGTGAGGTGATGAGGGAAAGAGGAGGTACTAGAAGATATCAGCAGCTCAGTGATTTTCCTAGGCCATGAATTTCAAAGCAGGAAGCAGCCAAGGATGATGCTGGAAAGAAAGGTCAAAGCTATACATTTTGTATAGCTTTGTTTTTTTGTTTTTCTCATTAACGTCAAAATCCATCCCATGCCAATCCTCCAGCTCCCTATACAAGCAGGTTTCTTTTTCTTCGTTTTTTTTTTTTTTTTTGGTGAGGAAGATTGGCCCTTAGCTAACATCTGTTGCCAATCTTCTTTCTTTTGCTGAGGAAGATTGGCCCTGAGCTACCATCTGTGCCCATCTTCCTCTACTTTGTGTGTGGGTTGCCACCACAGAAGGCCTTGATGAGCGGAAGCACACCTTTTTTTTTTTTTTTTTTGTGAGGAAGATTGGCCCTGGGCTAACATCCATGCCCATCTTCCTCTACTTTATATGGGGCGCCACCACAGCATGGGTTGACAAGCGCTGCGTCAGTGCGTGCCTGGGATCCAAACCCAGGATCCAAACCCAGGAACCCCTGGCCGCTGAAGCAGAGCACGTGCACTTAACTGCTATGCCACCAGGCCTGCCCCCAGGACACCTTTTTTAATAATCACAATTTTAGAATATTTAATTGACTATTCATTGTAAGTAGGCTATTCTCTGGAGAAGGGGAAGCTGATTGATATTAACAGTAATTGGCCTCATGCTCTCATAGGTTTTGTTCTCTTTCTACCACTGCCTGAATTGGGCATTATGGTTGATTCTCCAGCATTGATTCTGCTCCTGCCTTATTGAATAACAGTAATGTGGTTTGGGGAATTGACCTTAGCTGAAGGTCAGCTGGTTTAAGGGTAATCCTATTTGCACTGCCAGGATTTTAGTTCACTGATGGTTGTGTGATTCATTTTGGTCCAATGAGAAAAGATGAAAGTTTGGAGGAGGTTTGAAGGAAAGAGAACCATAGTCAACCAAGTTTTCTCTATTGCTATGTGAGAACCAGAGCTTGTAGCTCTGGGTGCCATGAGGGGACCCAGGCTTAGGATAAAGATGATGTTATAGATAGCAGAATGGAGAGATGGGAAAAAAATCAGAGTCCTTGATGACACTGTTAAGCTGGGAAATTGACTAACTCTGAACTTTTACCATTACCGGCCTTCCTGTTCCAAAAGCTAGTAATTTCCCTTACTGTTTAATTCATTTGGGTTTGTTCATCTGAAACTTGAAATCATGTGCATCCTAAAGGATATGTATTCTTTGTGACCTTCAGCAGACACCTCCATGACTTTTTGTGACTATAACTCTTTGAGCCTCATTTCCTTTAGGTGTGAAATGAATATAATTATGTCTCCTAGTTTTTGATGGAGATTATTTGAGATCCAGCACAAAGCATGAGGGAGGAGGCATGAACTAATACATGTTCAGTGCCTACGATGTGCCATGAAATAGGCTGGTCCTTGGTTTTAGGAAGCTTAGAGACTAAGAGAAATTCACAAATAATTTCCATATAAAATGGTATAAATCAGATCACATGCATATGGACCTTTGTGCAATTAAGTTTTTTAAGACCATTCATATAATATTTGTTGAATACTTACTGTTCCAGGCATGTGATCTAATATGGGGTGGGGCAGGAGTGGGAATGAGGAAGGGGATTAAGGGAAGGCATATCTGAAGAAATGGTATGTAAGCTGAAACCGGAAGGGTGAGTAGCAGTAAGTGAAGAATGGGGGAGAACACATCAGGCAAAGAAACATTATGTACAAAGTCCAGGAGGTGTGAAAGAACTTGGTGTGTTCAAGGAAGTGAAAAGTGTATGGTCAGAGTGGAGTGGAACGAGGGATAACATGGTGAGAGATAAAGTTGGAAAAGTAGAAAGGGGATAGATAATGCAGGGCCTTGTTGGCTACGTTAAAGATGTTTGAATTTTCTAGGTGTAAAATGAAGCCATTAGAAAGTTCTAAGCAGAAGAGTCTCATGAGCTGACCTACCCATTTTTTTAATGGGATTTTGGAGGTCAAGGGGTAAAGAGCAGTTAGCCTAGTCAGCAGTCTGGATGAGAGATGTGGGCAGCTTGGACCAGGGGAATGGCAATGGAGATGGAGTAAAGAAGGTGCATTTGAGCAGCATTTTGGGTATAGAGCTTACTGGATCTGGTGATAGATGGAAGGGATGTGGTGGATCATGGAGAAAGTTATGTCAAGGATGACTCTTCAGTTTCTGTGTGAGTAACTGGAGAAGACCAGAAAAGGAGAATATTTTTTGTAGAAAAACCAAAGTTCAGTTTTGAACATGTTAATTTTGAGATATCCATGATACTTTGAAATTGGGATGTTGAGTAACAGTTTTACTTAAGTCCGAAGCTCATAAGAGAGGTCTAACTAGCTGGAGTTAAAATTTGAATCACCAGCAGGTTGACTTATCAAAAGTGATGGGACTGGATGGTACCTGTTAAGGAAGGAGTGGACAGTGGGGAAAAAACACCATACCTTGCTTCTGGGAAGGCTTCCCTCATCTCTCAGAAGTAGAATATTCTCTCAGAAGTCTGGTAAGGAGAAGAGGCAACCCTGACCTGGATGGGGTGCTGAGTAGAGGGAAAAAGAATTTTAGAATTGCAGAAGTGGGTTGAAGGGGAAGAATGCTGAGAAAGGGGAAAACTGAAGATGTTCGGTAAAAGGAGATTATCAGTGAAGTAAAGTCCTGAGGGAGATGGGAGGGGATTTAAGGTTCTGGCCTTAAATCATCTGAGGCCAAAGGGGAGGGGATAAGGACGAGAGTTGAACTAAATTTGAAGGGTTGAGGTCACAGGAAGGTGAGATAATTTATTACTAGGGACCTCAAAACACACATACGTGCTGCATGTGCATATAAACACACACATATACTCACACACACCTGGTGGTTTGTGGAGGTCATCTAGGTGGAATGTATGGTTCCCATAAAACACACTGCTATTTCTTTGATAATGGGTGCATAGGAGAGGCTCAGTAGGTATTTGTTGAATGAATAAATATCCTTAGAAAATGGGCTTTAGATTTTATTTGTGGGGGTGTCTGTGTTAGTGGATGTGGAGAGAGTTAGTTAAGCCTGGTGGCTTCCAATTTTTCATATCTCTCTTGAACCTTTCACTCTGATCTTTCCTTCTCGTCCATGTAGCAGTAATAACTCTTAAAATCAGTAGTTCTTTTGTCTGTCTCTTCTATTGGATTGTGAGTTCTTTGAGGGTAACACCTATCATATAAATCCGTGTTTCCCGAATCTAACCCAGGGATGGCACATAGTAAGTGCTCAAGAAATATTTGAATGAATGCAGGAGGGTAGATTTGAGTGGATGCTTGACAGGTAGAGAAGGTTCAGAAGGGGGAGGGAATGAGCACTTTGCCAGACGGAGGAGCCAGAGGGATAAGCTAAACTACTGGGGTTGAGATAATTGCCTGTGTGGGAGGCAGTAGGAAAGTTGCCTGATCTGGTATTCTCATCTGTAACATGGGGATTAGTAACTCGCTCAATGTCAGACCACTTGGAACTGATGGTTTCTGGATTTGCTGGTAAGTCTTTCTGATTTCAAAGCTCAGGGTTTCCCGCTATACCATGCTACCTCTTCACCAGATTATTTCCCATAGTTATGACACCACCGCTCATCTCACAAATGCTTTGTTTCTTCCCACTTAGGCCAGATGAAATATTGCCTCTCATGGATGGCTTGTTTCTACAATTTGTTTTCTGAGTTATATTTTTTCCTCTTAGCTCTCCACTGCGGCTTGAATCCACGGGGTATTGATCACCCTGCCTGTGCTGAAGGTATTAAACTGCAAATTGAAGGTGAAGGTGTTGAATCTCAATCCATTAAAAGCAAAAATTTCCAGAAGGTGCTTGACCAAAAAGGAACCCCCAAACGACTGCAGACAGAAGCTGAGACGGCTAAGGTAGGTAATAATCCAATATATTAAGGAGATTCTGAAGCTGCAGCTTGGATGTTTTGTGGTCCAGCCGCAGAGAAGAACTGATGGTGTTTTCACTAATTACCATTGTATCTTCGGTTAAATGAGCACTGCTTCTTGGTTATGAGCAATAATAAATGAAAATATTGACTACATCCCCTTTGGAGTGAAATTGAAACACATTTGTGGTCAGTCTCATGCCATGAGGCTCTAGATATGGTGTGGTATAGAATGGGCTATAGAGAAGAACTCCTTGGTCTTAAAGCTGAAAGATTTGTTTGCCAGGCTCAGATTTATCATTTTATGATGATAGGCGAGTCATGTGACTTTCTAAGCCTCAGATTCTTCCTCTATAGAATGGGTATCATAAAAACTACCTTTCTGAATCAGGTTGAACAGACGAAATAATACCGTGCATGTGAGAGTATTTTGTAAAAGACCCAGTTGGCTGCATGGGGATGAGGGGCTTTTGATGACAAATACTGTTAATTAGTAATAACAACTGAAATTTTGTTAAACATACACATATATTCCAGGTACTGTTCGAAGGACTCTTGATGTATTGGTTTATTTTGTCCCCGTGATAATTCGATGAGGTAGACGATAGTAAACAGGACCCTAATTAATGAAAAATATAATTTTTCTATTTTGTTGCAGGATACTTTGTTCTTTTCAGTCTTGAGCCTAGATGTAGGTACAAAACAGACATTAGTAAACTGGGAGTTGTAGGGTAGATGATTCTTTAGTAAGAACAACCCCGTTTAAAGACTTTCCACAGTGTAATTAGAACTATATGGATTTTTGTCTGAAATCAGTGAAGATGTTCATATTGGGGGCACAGTGTTGAAGATGTTCATATTAGTTTGCTCCTTGGAAATTGAGAGAACTAGTCTTCAGATGGCATTTGGTTTCTCCCTTGTGCATTCCCTGCAAGGGAAATTCCTTTCAAATGTTTGAGTGAATGTATATATGCATGCCTGGGAAAGCAAATGTTGCAGTCACCCAAGAAAAACCTTAAGTGGAAAGGTCACTTTGCTGTCGTACAATAACCACATCTTTCCCCCTAAAAAGTGACTTCCAAAATCAAATGTGAATTTTTCTGCTTTATCTACAGTTTTGAATAGTTACCATTGTTGCTTCCCTTCTTTAGTGTGGATAATTAAAATTGATGACAGTATGTGTGTGTGTGTGTGTGTGTGTGTGTGTGTGTGTGTGTGTGTGAGAGTGGGAAATGACTGAGAGAAATTGCACCTCAGAGGAAATTGGTTGATGATCACTGAAGTTTGGTTTGTGAGCAGAGTTGGAAATAAGTGAGCCGTATTATCACATCTAAACCTCATCAATCTCTGATGCCGCACAGGCATCTTGAAGGAGCGAGGAAAAAAGGTCTTAAGGTTCTTCTTTAACTGGGAAGATAGAGTTTGTCTGAGTAGGCCCTTTCCAAAAGGCTGCTTAAAACATTAAAAATTAGAGTGGAGAAAAAAATTAATGATATTTGTATGATTTTAATTCAACTTTAATTAAACATTTCCAGATTATCTTTTATTTGCAAAACAGATTGGTAATGTAAAAAGTTTGATTCAAATCTGATATGATTTGATGACTTCTGAATTATTTGGAATATGTGGTATTGTAGTAAATCTTGAATTTTTGTGTTGGTACCACTTGCCTTTGCCTCTAGATGACTTTTTATTTGCTTTGCTGAAAACATACTTCACTGAGAATGTAGTAATCTATAATGAACCTTTCCTCAGGAATAGACCACATATCGGAAACCAGATTCATTTGAGTTTATCCAGATCATCTACAATGAAACCCCCAAACAAATGGGGTTGAAAAGGGAATTCTGAGTGTTTTCACATTGACATCATATTTAGGAGTCAACAGACTAGAGGCTTTCTAAAGCTTAGACAAAGTATATATTCATTTTTCCTGGAGGACTTGATGACGTTTTTCATAGAGGACTTACTGCAGACCCGCAGTTTCACATACCCTGAAGTTTCTGTACAACAGACAATGTGAACTAGTTTTATGCGTGGACAGACGCATTTAAATGTTCTCTTCTGTTGCATTTAGGGAGTTATTGGAGTTGTGAGTCATCTTCTTTTTTCTTGGGTAAATAATTGAACCTCTGGTAACTTGACCTACTCTAAATGTACCAAAAAAAAAAAAAAAAAAACCTCTGGCTGGAAATTCATGCCTTTAAAGCCGCTCAATAATGTAAATTGGTACAGCTTTTCTGTCGGACAGTCTGATAGTAATTATCAATTTTAAATGTGTGTAATTTTTAGCCAATAATTTCCTCTCTAGGAACTTGTCCTAAGGAAACAATCTTCCAGATGTGCACAGATGGCTGCAGAAGAATGGTCACTCGAGCACTGTTTGTGATATGAAAACATTGGAAACAGCCTAAATGTCTATTCACATGGCACTAGCTAAAGAAACAATGTGTATTTATGCAGTGAAATAGAATTTTCCCTTTATAAGGGTGAGGCAGACCTGTGTGTATTTATCTTAGTCTGTTTGAGCTGCTGTAACAAAATACCATAGACTGAGTGGCTTATAAACAACAGAAATTTATTTCTCACAGTTCTGGAGGCTAGGAAGTTAAAGATCAAGGTGCCGCCCAGTTTGGTGTCTGATGAGTGTCCGCTTCCTGGTTCATAGATGGCATCATCTCGCTGTGTCCTCACATGGTGGGAAGGGACAAAAGAGTTCTCTGGAGTCTCTTTTATAAAAGCACTAATCCCATTCGTTGAGGACTCGACCCTCACGACCTAATCACCTCCCAAAGGCCCACCTTCTAATACCATCACATTGCGAGTGAGGTTTCAACATATGAATTTTAGAGGAACACAGACCTTCAGTCTATAGCAGTATTTATGCAGGAAAATGAGCGTGATGATATTTTAACTTGGGGAGGGGAGGAGAAAGGCAGGTATGTGTAGCATGTCCCATTCATGTAAAAATGTCTGTCTCTGTATTATTTCTCTGCATGACCGAGTCTAGAAGAGTTGACTCCACAATTTGAGCAGCAGTTTATATCTGAAGTTGAGATTATGGGGAAAACTTTCTCTTCCTCCACTTCTGTTTTGCTTGACTTTTAAAAAAAGATATGCATTCTTTTAAGCATATTTGTTTTAAAGCCCTTTTCAGATTGCCCTATTAACTTGAGTAGGTCAACTGTGACTTTTCCTGTTGAGCCAGCATTCTGCCTTGTGGGGTGCTGTATGTCCTCCCATGGTTTCTAATTCTTGCTGGTAGGTTATTTGCCAAGAGAGAGAGTTATCTTGGGGACTGTGTGTGCCTTGGGTTGTGGAGACCATTTGATGAGGTGCTTTTATAGTATATGTGCTGCTGAAGCAAGCAGTGATGAGGTGTTTTTGTGTTTGTCTCTTCCTGAACTTTTTGGGATGGAACAGCTTTGACCAGGTGTTACATTATATTTCAATTTGACATTCTAGCTCTTTGCTACTGACTGACTATGCAAATCAAGCCCTCCCCCGTCCCCGACACGTGCTTTCCCGTTTGCAGGCCTCACACAGGGAACCTGGTTCCAGCTCCCTATCGTGCCTGTGGGCTCTGCCACTTTGAGCCCAGCCATGTTGGGCTTTGAAACCAATCCCTCAGCACATCACCTGTTCCAGATCTCCAACAGGCATAGTGAGCTTCATACTCTTTGTTGCTGTGGGTTTCTGACACCTAAAGATTTTTCTTCCCTGATTTCAAGCTTGGTCTTATATGAATTTAAAAATATATTTTCTAGTATTTAAGGTTCTAGAGCCTGAGGGGCGATTGTAGCATGAGCTTAATCTACTGTCTTGACCTGAAATTTGTATTGCTTTCATAATTTAAAAATGTATCTCTCAATCTATAAATGTATAAATATCTATTCTGGGAAAAATCATCCTTTTTTGCTTTTCTCTTAGAATGTGATTTTGGGACCCTTCGCCCTAATTCCTCAAACGACTAGAACCCTAATTTCAGAAGGAGGTTGTCTATGCCACGAGTTGCCTCCAGCTCTTGTAGACCAAAGAGAAATCAGTAGAGAACCAAACTGATTTTTGAGCCTTATTATTGGGCCAGCATTCAGTCTAGTTGGAAAAGAAATGGATCCAATTGAAATGTAGATCTGCAAAAGATATTTACCAGTGTGAGTCCTAAATGCTTATGAGTACCTGGGAATCCAGAGAGTATGTGTGCCATTCCACAGCTGCAGTTACAAGTTCGAGATGCAAAAAACTACGTTAACTTAGCTTTACAGGTGGATACAAGGCAAGAGAGATAGGAGGTATAGCATTTTCATCTCATCAGGAGATGCATACGTTATAAAAGTACACAGTTTCTTTTGCCTCCTCATCCACACAGGGGCATGTACAACTGCCTCAGATGAGAGCCAAGGTGAGGTTGAGTCTCCTTGACACAGAGAAGGCACAGCCTCTGTTTCCCACCAGTCTATTTTTACCATTCTAGTCATGGAGGCCCAAGGCCAACTCACAACTCCTACAGACTAGGTATAAGGAAACAGCCATATAAGAGACTGAGGTTCTTCCCAGACAGGCCCAGGCCAGAGGTTAATTAACACTTTGCTCAGCAGTGGAGATGGGGCTGCCAGAGAGGGTATTCCAGTAGAAGTCGAACTTGACCCGTGTTGTCAAATATCGGTAAATTCAAATATGCAGCAGTAAGAATGGAAGGTGCCCTTAGCAATGAAATCTAAGTATGTTGAGCCAGGGTGTGGCAGCAGACGTCCTCAGGTGTGCTCAGCAGCGGTCTCATTAGAGTCAGAGTTTGTGTTGTGGAAACTGGTTGGACAGTAGCTTGAAGCCAAGTTGTATGGGATGTGAATACTAGAATGAAGAGCATGGATTTATTTTCTGTGCTGTCGAGTATGGCAGTGACTAGCCATATGTGCCTATTTAAATTTATTAAAATTAAATAAAATGAAAAAACTCATTTCCTTGGTCATACCAGCCAAATTTCAA